GGTTAACTGCAGTTTTCTCTGGTGTGAAGCAAGACTGCGCCTTAGCTCCTCTCTGCTTAATATTACCTTCATGTCATGATGACTTGTGTTTGTGATGCGGATTGTACTTACGGTGTTCGTGTGAAGCGCTGTATTGATAGTGGGCTGCTGAACATCCGTTGTTTCGGTGCGAACACCCTAGTCTGTGAGACAACTATCCGTATGTTGCTGTATGCTTATGACTGTGCGTTGTTCGCAAACAGCGCGGATGAGTTGTAGCGCATGAGTAGTGCTCTGCCTTCGACAGCGGCGAAAATCGGGCTCATCATCAACACAAACAAAACTCTCTGTCTCTATCAGCCTTCGATGGTTGTGCAATCTACAATGGTGCCACGAATCAGCATTGGTGATGAAGTATCGGAAACCACCTTCTGCTTCTGCTACCTTAGGAGAGTGGTTTCGACTGACCAGCAACTACAAGATGAGCTTCGTAGCCGCATATCGAAGGCAGCGGCGGCGTTCGGAAAGCTTGAGTACCGAGTGTGGAACAACCATCAGCTTACCATTGGCACGAAGCTGATGGTGTACCAATCCATGGTGCCATCCTTTCTTCTATACGTTCTAATATTGATTTAAGATATTGGGAATCGAAGGTGGTTGTTCGTCCTGCATGGCGCACTCTGATCACGAAGGCCGATGCCGAGTTGCAAGAGAAAGCTCTCATGCATGCAGAGAAGAAGCGGCAATTGCGTAAGTGACAGTCCCCCAGGGGTTGTACTCCATCGACATCGAGCACATGGTGCTGTAGCACATGCGATCGCGGGTCCATAAGTCAAGTAGACCTAGTGAGCTGCGAGCGAGGCCACTAAGGACCAGCATCGAAAAGACGACGGGTGCTGCTGAGAACGTAAGAAGTACCGGCGCATCGTTGATAGGTACTCTGCATTCGATTTACTAACCGCGTGCTTGTGTGATGTTTCTTTATTTCAGGTAGTTTGTATGCTATATTGTCCCAATACCATTTTTTATCTCATATTTATGTCTACCTGAACTATCTTCTATAAACTTGCACACGTCCTCTAAACTACTTAGCTTAACTTGGATAACATTTTGGTGTTTGTGGCATTTTCTTAAAAAGTATTTTCTGACGTCTTGACCTTATCGCGAATTGCTTCGTAACCAATTAATTTCATATACTTATTTATTGAAGATTTATGTCACCGTACGCATTAGTCACTTTATATTATTTGTTATCGTCGTTTTAAGTGATTGGGTGGCTGCAATTGATGTGCATGTTGACAAGGTGACTACCTGTCTATTACCTACTACCACGATATATATATATATATATATATATATATATATATAGTTTCTATACAGGAGCCACATCTTTCCATATAAAACGATAGTCGATTGAACTTTGACCATCCAGAAGCGCCAGTCAGTACCCTCTGAAATAGGTCGTACTCTTCATATATACTGTTGGTACGCCATGAAACGGTAAATTCCTCCTCATCAAACAGTGGACGGAACCACGCGGACACCGACGTAGAAGGCGAATACTCTGCGCTTGCATTATGCCGCGACATTTCAGTGCAAGCATTGGCCGCCTTATTCCATGAAAAAGATTATCTCACCCCAAGAACTCACTCAAATATGCTTCACGGCGGAAGCTGTATTAAAATACCTGTTGAGTATGCGCAAGTACAGCTTTCCTGAAGTTGCTAGCACACACCAAAAGTCAATGGCAGTTACAGGAGAGAACTTAGCTAAGCATTTGTCTCGATTCTTCCAACACTTAACGAAATGTACGTGCCTGACATGTGGACGTACGGGAGGGTTACTCTTATTCACAAGGGAGACAGTCCTTCCGATCCAACCGATTACCGACTACCGATATTTTCAAAGCTCATGGAAGTTATTCTTTTTGACGCGCTAATAATCTACTTGGGGGAGATTAACTACCATGCATCGGAACAGCATGGTTTCTAACGGAATCGATGGTGTACTACAAATCTACTACCATCGCGATCCAGTTGGAATGAGGATTACTTCTGGTACAGCTGTTGTTGTGATTTATCTCGACTTCTCAACGCCATTGGACCAGTTAGTCCACGACATCCTGCTCTACAAACTCCAGATCTCTGGTATTGATGATCCTTTCCTGGGGTGGATCAGAAGCTTGCTTCTACACCGGCACTTGGAAGTACGAGTGCGTGAATCCCTGTCAGAGCCCATCCCAATTACATGCGGAGTACCAAAGGGATCGGTAACAGGACGGCAGTTATTTTGACGGATATCAATGATATCACACTCATCATAAGCCCAAACTGCCTGCGTTATGCCGATGACATCAAAAGTGGAGGGCGATCAAAATACCAGATGAAATCACAGTACAAAACGCTGATCTGGGTAAGATATTATCATTGTCGACCCAGAATCTATTTTGATGCATGGTGGAACAATGTAGGGTGCTGCACATACGGAACCAAGTAGTGTGCTCCTACAAACTCGGCAAGCAGGAGCTTCATACTTCTTCTGGCGAGAACCATCTGGGAGCTTTGGTCCAGGCAGACCTTGGATGTTTGAGTCAGGCTGAAACCATGTCAAGAAGAGGCATCCAACAGTTGGCCGCCGTAAACCTGCATCTGAACAATTCGACCCATCGATTTTGCCACATGTGGAGTACGCCATACGCCACTGCTGAGGAGGGATCTCACCGCCTTGGAGACTCCCCAAAACCGGGCAACGAAGAATGTCAAAGGTCTGTATAATTTGCGGTATAATCGAAGCTTTCGAGTTCTCGGGGTCTTCAGCAGACAATATCGGTGAATTTGCGCGAATCACATTTTGACTTATCAATTTTTGTGAGAGCCCAACCACACGTGCCGCTAGTTACTAGAGCTCAGTTACAACAACAATTTGAAAGGCAACCGTCTCAAGCTGGCAGAGTAGTACAGTCGTTTGGAATGCCGTCGGAATTTCTATTCTGTGCGTGATTGCAAAACATGGAGTGTCCTACCGGCACCTGTTGTCTCTGCTCCCATGCTGACAGAGTTCAAAGCCCGATTTGATCGTTCACCGATTTCGCTGACCATCTCCCATGTATCATTACCCACGGATAAACACAAGGGTCCGATCAACCCTCTGGATCCGTTGCACTTTTTCACCTCCCTTACGCGTCCATCAGAATGCCATACGATTTGTTATCAACCACTCAGTTGTCGTCATTCCTTGTGGATAACATTAGATTTACAGTTTATACTACAAATACTACAGTGAGTCCACCAGTGCAAACCCAAATTCGCTGACAACTGTTCTATATTTTGAAATTTCACCATGACCATTCTACGGGACCTGTTGAGATTTAACATTTTTACCCGTATTAAACCATCGTTCCATTGCTCCACTGATATCATGGGTGGAAAATACTCAATTGGGGACGAGTACACGCGAAAGTTAGTTAGTAAAGAGAAGGAACAAGCGCGGGCTCTGATCCCAGCATGTCACGGTATTCCAACTCGATCAGGTTGGAGATTGGGCCTGGACTCGTACCCGTTGATTTGGAGGATTAACAAGATAACCATGTAGCTTACTCTATCCTACGACTCAAAACATTATTTTTGACGTGAAATTTTTCCTTGGGCCAACCATTTTCACTCACTGGAAAGTTTACAGGATAGTGACATCCTCAGTTACTTTAGGCCGAGTTATAAAGTCATCAAATACACCAAAGCGTTGGACGAATTTTTAATTTTTTGGGACTTCTCAGTATGGTATACCACGTTGAAACTATGCGCTATTTAAGCCATCCATCTTACAACATCAGGGAAGTAATGAGGCCCATGGATAGTGGGTGATTGTCGAAGTCGACTCCATGAACTCACCATCCATAAGAATTGTTAGTATCATATTAATAATAAAAATAAAAATAACTTACATTTCTCAGAATCGAGAAAGTCGTCAGAGATACCACCACCGGCGACTAGTTTATTAATGCACCAGTTGGTTGGGAACTTGATAGCAATGTTTTACTAGCTTTTACTATGGTTACTCAATTATCATTTTGATTCCAAAGAAATGGCTGGGTAACCAGTTCACAATGTTGGGACCCGTTATCAATCTCCTACAGCTCGTCGACCTAAGCCCTTACCCTACGAGTTCGACAGCGGTTGGCACAAGGCCTTTAGAGCACCAGGGAAGACTGATCTTTTACAAGTCCCAGTAGAAAGAGAATGCAAAGAGAACGAGGAGGTAGGGAGGCACAGTCTTTCTTACAAACGATAAACGGGTTCATAGGTTATCACGTACACGCGCACATAAGAAGAACAATTCCAGCCCACCACGCACCACAACCGTCCTTTGGCTCGGCATCACATTCATGCCCCGATTTCATTCAATCCGCGAGGTCCTTTTTGACCGACTTGCCCTCGTATCTTCGCTTCCGCTTATCGTATTCTGACTGGGCTGGATCTGTCCTAATGCTCTTTACTTGCTTAATCGGAGTTGTGTCCTTCTCCGTGGGGCTGTTCTGGAGACGCATCTCCCCGGAAAATCGGGCTGTTCATCATTAAGTCCTTGATCTCAATTGTTCTAGTAAACCATTTCCGGCTTGTTCGATAGACCTCGACTTTTCTCTCTGGTGCTCTCGTAAGTTTTACTGTTCCTTAGTTTTCGCGCTTTGTCCGTTCCGTCTGTGATTCCTGATTTCGTACCACTACAAAATGACTTTTTGCCGCCGTTCCTAACCTCAGGTGCATGTTTGACTGAGTCAAGAATGATGTTCCAGAAATTCGCATCATTTGGCATCTTGCGCAAAAATTTTTCTTTTATACTTCCATAAGTATACGATAACTGCTCCATTTGTTCACCGCTGCATCCCTGCACCACCGCGTTGCTTAACACCGCCAGGTTCTAGTTTAAGTTTCGGTATTTCTCTTATTTCTCTCTCCGTCATTTTATCTGCCTTTTCTCATGTTGGCTCCTCTCATCATTATTGTGTACAATACCTTTGTTTGCAGTGGACCCCGAAAACTTTAAAGCACTAAAAAATCTGGTGTCTAAAACCGATGACGACAAATATGTCGATCCATACATGGTGCTGAGTTTTGCTGGTAAAACTGTGAGTTAATTGGTTGTGCTCATTAACCATCATTCTGCTATTAGCTCAAATCTTCCATTAAGTACGGAACAGACCACCCGGAATGGTACGAGGCGTTGACAATGAATATACAAGTACGTTCGTATGGAATTATTGACAAGCATATGACATATTTTTACTAAGCTATTTGGCATTCGGGTCACAGTCGACGGGATAAATGATGGAACAATGGTTTATTGAGGATAGAAAAGCACTTTACTTGACTAGTCCTGTGGGATGGACAGAATGAGAAGTACAAAATTGACGTAGCCAAATGTGATGATAAAATGAGAAGTACTTTGCTGGACTCCGCATATTGCTCCTATTGAGTCATGCGTAAAGGAGCCTTGCTTTATTGTTTAGAGTGATGCTGTTCGGTGTAGCGTTTGTTAGATTACACCGTTTCTTGATGTATACGGACTACATTCCGAAATGCAGCTGCGTTAGGTAAACGTCAAGTCGATTTTTAAACTGCCAATGTGGGGTGGAAACCAAGTACTTAGGGAGGATGCTCCAGAGCTGACACAGCAGGAAAGTAAAGTTTTCATTGGCACTCTAGCTGACTGTATTGCGTAGTTGAACTGTTAGTCCCTCAAATTCTTGTTGTGACTGAGTTGTAGTAGGTGGTGGCAGACGTGAATGAGGTTCCTCAAAAAATGGTAGGTTATTTTTATGTACAATGAACAATGATTTTATATGGGTTAAGTAGCTTTTCTATACAAACCCCATTGGGGAGACTGATGGGTTAGCGCAAAAGGTTAATGAAAAAAGCAGTTATTAGTTTTACTGTCTAACTAATGGACGCATCGTTTTTGTTTCAGTATCCCCGCACCCCGAGCGTTTCCATATCTTCAACAGACGAAAAAAGTAAATGCAAGCTATTTCCAGCGAGTAGGATGGAGTGTAGCGTCAAGTGACAAAATGTACGTGGTGGATTGCGTCATCCAACCGGCTTTTAATTATGACTGTCGTGAGTGCTGAAACAACATATTCGGGGAGAGCATTCCATGGTTGACACACGAATGGAAAAGAAAGTTTCTACGGCACACCAGGCCGCTTTACTGTTCTGCTACTTTCAAGGAGTGGCCTCTAAGTTTGGTGTTACTGTTGAGTTGCAGTAAAGAGCGGTACACACCATTTGGATTATGTACAATCAAATACCTTATAATCAAGTCGCCTCGTAGTCGACGATACCGCCAGCTGAATACTCCAAAAGGTTTCAGCCTCTACTCCTAAGGAAGGTGGCGCATTCCAATGACGCGTTTAGAAGCCTGACCTTGAGGTTCGTCCAGTGCAGTAAAATCGTGCTTCAGCCAAGAATGCCAGGCCTAGATTGCGTATTCTACATGGGAACGAACATAAGAATTCAGCATCTGTCTGAACATAGTAATGCCCAGTTGTCCGAACGCCCGTCGTAACAAGCCGACGTTCTTGTTACCAGTTTTCGAAGCCATTGCGGATTGATTGGAACAATCCAAGTTATCCTGAACAAGGACGCCAAGGTCGCGTTCAACAGATGACCGCTGCAGTACTTGCGTTCCTAGCTTGTGAGAATAGGTACCCTGGTGTTGGCTGGAGAGCACCTTACATTTGTCCAAGTGGAACTGTAACAGCTTTCGGGTTGACCAAACATGGACGGTATCTAGGTTACACTGAAGTAAATGCTAATCGGCATCCGTCTGAATCCGGTGCCATAGCTTGAAATCGTTAGTAAACAGCAGGAAATTTGAAGAGATAATCTGTGAAAGGTCATTGATTAGTACCAAAAGCAATCATGAACCTAGAACTGAGCCACGGGGCACACCAGACTCGACTGTTAGGGGTTAAGAAATAAATTCTGGACTCTCACCACTAATCGTAGTTGCAGGAGAAACTTGACGATCCAGCTCAAGAGAGGGTCACCGATCCCGTAATATGAGAGCTTGGAAAGGAGAACTCGATGGTCTAAACGATCGAAGGCATTCTATTAATCCAAGTAGATCGAATCAAGGGCCTCTCCAGCGTCAAATGACTGGGTCCAACTACTTTGCGCGATTTATAAATTCGTCGGGTATGATCGCGGTCGAGGAAAGCCGTGTCGCTCGCGAGCAATAATGTTACAATTCTCTAGGTAACACACCAACGCAACGGCAACGATAGATTCCATGACCAGGGATAATACAGGGACAAGGGACCTTAAGCGGTAGTTTCAGGGTTCAATCCTGCTTCCGCCTTTGTGAATCGAAGTTAGTTTTCCAAGTTTCCATATCACAGGAATCTGGTTTTGGTCTAAGCAGCGCTGGAAAAACTGTGCCAGTTTTGTCAGTTGCCTTGCAGTTGCTCCCAACGCCTCTGGGCGAATGGTGTCGACTCCTGAGGAGCCGTGGTTGCGCAGAGGCTTTAGCCTCCGCAAAACAGCTTCGACTCTAAAAGATATGTGGGTGAGTCCTGGAGGCGGGGAATAAGTTGGAAGATAGCCTGATGATAAGACCCTCTGAAATGTGGGAGCATATGACGTCCGCAACGCGTTTCCTGCTTCTTTGGCTATTCTAGTTGGACCATCAGTCGTTCGGAGAGGAGGAATTCCCTGCTTTACCTTAGGAAGTCCAATGACATGCCTGTACAGCAGTTTGTGATTAACACTGAAAGTTTTCGTCATATTCTGCTGACGTGCGACTTTGTCTTCTGTGTTTAGTGGCGACGATAAGCTACGTAGCTGTCCCAATTATCTGGCGTTGGTGATGATCTCTACTCTCGCTAGCCTGCGTTGCGTATAGTCATCCATTTTCTAGTTCTGCTCCTCACGAAAGAAGCGGTGTTAGGTCTGTTGAAAACCCGTCTCTGAGGCATCCGTAACCAGTTGATTGAATTTGCTGACAAATTCAAGCCAAGCGACTTCCGGATGTCCCTCAGCGCGAAACGACCAGGTTGTGGCACTGACGAGCTTGGCTAAACAGTCGTAGCGCTTAATGGTGCGCACCAATTTTGGGTTCTGGTTGCGATATTCAGCATAGCAAATTAAGCGACACTGATGAGTGCATGAACACTGCGCCCCAAAGGGCATTCTATGATCAATACATCATTTACATGTTCCTGGTTGGTAAAAACAGGATCCAGCAAAGAAGGTCTATTACCTGTTTTGAAAAGCGTGGGTGTAATGACTTGATTGTAAATTGGAACACTTATTAAAAGCGTTTGCAGATCTGCTTTGAATGGCTCTCCGATTGTATCAGGTGTTTCCAAACAGAGTACCTTGTAACCACCCATGTTAAGGATGTGAGTTGGCTTTCGCTCTAGGATGCACGATAATGCCGTCGCAAGTTGGTAGTCCGTTTACGGTATGGTTTGGGGGGGGCGGTATACCAAAGCTATAATGCAGGTGTCTCTGCCATGTAATTGCAGGCGGCACCAAAGAGAATCGGCGAACGGTAAGTCTGAATCCTCAACGGCCTCGCAGTGTAGGTCGTTTTGGTAATACAGAATTACCACTCCTCCTTTCGTAAGCTTGTCTTTTCGCATGAGTGACATGCTCGGCAGCGAGACTTCAACGTCTGTCATCTCAGTGGGCAACCATGTCCCTGTGATGCCGATAATATCGCATAGGTTTGAAATTTGGCGATCCTTCAGTTAGGTCAGCCTACGAAAAAGGTCTTGAGCATTGGTATAAAGGCAGGATAGTTTCTCGATTTCTAGGAGCTCATAGAGAGCCAAAAAGGTCAAGTGTTGTAGAATGCCGACCGGTGCGAGGTCGGCCGTTATTCGTCTTTTTAGATGGGATGATGATGACACGTCGTCCACCAACTGATTTGGCTAAGGTACGTCGCATTCCTCATCCGAACATGCTGCAGAATCACGTGCTCGAGCGGTAAAGTGATGCTGATGCAGATCGCTAGGAGGAATGCTTCTTCAGGTAGGCTCATGTCTGGTCTTCGCGAGCATTCAACATCTTTTAACCGAAGTTCAGATGGAAAGCTTTTACGATGTCTCCGCCGACGTTCTAACACTTCCGTTGCTGTCTACTTTGCCTGGACCAGGAGTTTTAGGATTCTTGGCCCTCTTCCTCTATAATTCGGTGAGAGAAGTAGCCTTTTGAGCGATCGCGCCACAATGTTGTCCAAGGAAAGTGTTTCAGGAAAGAACTGCCATTGTCCAGCTTGCTTTGTCTATTTGTGAGGTTGCTTTTCGAATGTCGCGTGCTCTAAGGGACCTCAGAATAGATGCGAACCTTAAAAGGTCCGTGTTATAGCGCACTTACAGAGAGTAAAACGTTTTCTACATCAATGGCCGATTCCATTGCTGCTCTACTAATTATGGGTTCGCCATAGTGTGCAGAGTTCGGATGACGAGTAACCCTCACTAGGTTCGTGGGTTTGACTGTTACGTTCATTAAAATACACACTGAGTTCCACTGGTCTTGGTCGTCAGACAACTTACCCCATAATGTGATGGTGGTACATTCGGGGACATTCGTGCACACGACAGTCAGGAAGTTATTACTGAAGCAGTTTTTTGTTGAACTGCAAGGTCGGGTTCTCGTTGGTCCTGGCTTTATGCCAAGTGTTGATATTCCACTGTTTGTCACTCTATTGGTGTTAGCGATGTTTGCAGCAGGGGAGACACTAGAGGTAGCAGCCGGAGGTACATTTGCAACGATCTCTGCATAGGTGACTGGAGTCTCAAGGGATCTGAACTCGACCAGAGATACTTGGGTTGCAAATGCAGTAGACTCGGATTCGGCTGTCCCATCCTTGTTAATGTTGCAAGTTGTTAAGACCCGCTGCATTTGATCGATCACGCATTTCGAGTGGTGCCTGGTTTTTGGGATCCTGAGTACCGCTTGTCCATCAGAGCTACTGTCTGTTTTCGCTTGGTATTCGTCCACAATTGAAGAAAATGATGGCAAAGAGGACCTTGTCAATCGTGGTCCAAGCAAAGCAAAGTTTACACCAATGCTTCTCTTTGAAGCCAATGTGTTATCATCTTGCGTACTCGCTTCCAGTGATGTAACCTTAGCGTTCGTTCGTTGTTTAAGTTCTTCTGTTAACCGCTCGCACTTCTGGACTAAGAAAAGTATACGCTTGACTAGTGGGATTGGCGAACACGCAGTACACAACCA